ATTATTTGTTTTTGCAAACGTCCCTGGAGAGCTGTGTCCATGGACCATCCCACCATCAGATACTTAAAACAGAGGCAGGTGAAGTGTAGTTCTTGTGCACAGAGGAAGTTTATGGCTATAAGTGCTGTTTAAAGTTCACTGGGCTTTATGAAGTGGAAGTGAAATAACCTTTCCAGTAGCATTGTGGGTTGAATTTGGAAACACTGGGGAAATCTTAGTTTCATGAAAAAAAAAAAAAAAAAAAGTGTACACAGGGAGGCACGACACAGCTTGCCCCAGACTGAGCTGTGCAGGTGTCCAGGGCTGGGCTCTCGGCTCTGGCCTTTGTCCTGTTCCTACCTCTGCCTCAGTGGCTCTTTGCTTTGTTCTTCCTGCTCACACTGTCATGGGATTCTGCCAGCTCCCAGCCAGTCAGCTGTGGGGCTGCGTGTGGCAGAGCTCGAATGACAAAATCCCTTCTTTCCCTGGGCATGTACAGAGCCTATAGCAGTCATCACATTTCAGCAGCTACTTAAAAAAAAACGTGTTCATTTCCAGTGGCTCTGGGTAATAGGACCCAGACTAGTGACTTCAGTTCTGACTGCACATCGTGCCTATCTCCGGATCCATGTGGACCTGGGATAGGGTGTCAGTATTTTCACATGTGCCACCCTCCTACACCCAACTCATTGAGAACATGCGGCAGGGTTGTACATGATTTCTGCTGGACACACCAACCCATTCAGTGATACGGAACACAGAAGTGAAACACCCAGACATTTGGGCTCTAAGGCTGTTTGGCTGTGGGGAGACTGGAGAAGGAGGAGAGAGTGATGAGGCCGTTTTCGGAGCCCTACGAGCTGACCTGTGTTACTGGAGGCCATTGACTTCTGTCTTCCTAGCTTTGCCTCTGGACTTTGTAAACCCTGGTGGAGCAGCCAATCAGTGAAGCACCAGGATCAGGAAGAAGGTAATTCTCAGGGATTAGGGAGATGAAGGCCATAGGTTAGCGGCCCATGTGACCAGGAGACAGTTTGCAGATGTGTATCTGAGAGACTACGGCGGCACTGTGAGTGTGGAGGTGAGTGTGACGAAGATGGGGTGAGTGGGAGGATTCACACTCATGATTTACTGACACATGCACGGCACAGCGCTGGGCTGTTTACGAGGAGGAGTTCATTCTGTTTTCTCCAGCACCACTTGACCAGCCGCCGCCATATCTCAGCAATGGGGGAACTTCCGCTCAGGGCCGAGAGGGTTGCCAGGCACACAGGGACTTTCTGTATATATTTTGGAATCCCCAGGAAGTCAGAAGTTGGTCGCCAGTGAGGGTGTTCAGGGAGGAGGCTATAACACAGTGCCTGTGTGTGAACCCAGCTCCCAAGGAAGCCAAGCACCAGGGCCCAGGAACCCCATGGGAAGGGAGGGCCCATCTGAGAGGATGAAGTGTCCATGTGCTGTCAGGGGGAGGGGCTCTGGACCTGCCCAAGCCCACCTGATTGGTGTACAAGTTCCAGGACAACAGGAATGTTACCAAGGAAGACAGGCGAGTGTGGAAAGGCTGATACCTCAGGAACGTAGTCTTGCCACCCAGTTTCTCGGCCTTACCTCAATGCCTGGGATCTCCTCCTTGCTTCCCCTTCCCTTCTGCTGGGATGGTCCTGCTGTGGATGATGTCCACATTCATGCAATTCCAAGAGCTACAGCTTTGAGCCTGGAGACCAGCCTGGAAGTTCTTCAGATGGTGTAACCATCTTACTTGCTGACGTCATTAGCTGCCGGTCATAATACGACAAGCCCTGTTCACTGGCTCTCTGCTCTGCCGAATTTGGGGTTCTTCGTTTCACATCTCCTACTTCCTTCAGTGTTTATAATCTTTATTTTATTTATAATCTTTATAATCTTTAATTGCTATTTACTTTTCAAAAAGCAAATCCTACTATTTTCAGGACAGGGTCTTGCTGGGTAGCCCAGGTTAGCCCACAATTTGCAAACCGCCTATTCTGGTTGGGAAGTGCTGGCAGTGCAGCCTGTGCTGCCCCTCCAAGCGTCAAACCAGGCAGTTTTATCTGGGATAGAAGCTAGCTGGTACGTGGGTGTTCATATAATTCTTCCTTTGTCCTTAGTGAACTATGTTACAGAGACTTGAGACAATTCCTCCACGGCCGGTGGAATGTCTCCTCTCTGTGTCCTGTGGCCATGCTCTTATGAAATCTGGTGACTGAATGGCCAACATCCTCCCTGTTGGAAACCTCATGATCCTGGAAAGTTGTCTTGAGAGATGCCTGGTGTGTGTGTGTGCTTGCATACGTGTTCATGTATATTTTTGTGTGCATGCCTGTGTATGCATGTGTGTTTTGGGGTGTATTGTATGAATATGTGCATGTGTGTATGTGTTTGTGTGTGTGAACATGTATGTGTGTGCGCATGCATGTGTGTATATGTGTGTGTTTGGGTATATTGTATGTATATGGGCATGTGTGTATGTGTGTGTGAATATTTATGTGTGCGTGCATGCATGTCTGCGTGTGCATGCATGTCTGTGTACGTCTGTGTGTGTTAGGGGGAGCACTGCTCTTTTGTAAGCAAAGGTTGCTCTTGCCAGCGTTGCAGACTGTACTGGGGCAGGAGCACGGTTTGGCTGGGCATAGGCACCCTGTCAGAATGTGGCCATTCCACAAGGATTGAAGATGGTGTGGAGTTTGTTGCCACCTGGCTGACAATAGTAAGTAGCAGTGGAGGGCTGGCCTGGGATACCGTCATCGTATTCCATGGACCCCTCAACCCAAACAAGGGCCTAAGAACCGGACGAGCCCACCCCTTCCTCAGATGATAGATTAAAATGCATTAGCTACAGACAAAGGCAGCGAGCCATCTCAATCACGGTTGTCTGGAGGTGTTTAAAGATTGTGGTTGACCTTGGCGAAGGCGTGGCGGGAGGCAGAGGCAGCTGGATAGCTGTGGTTGAAAGGCAGTCTGGTCAAGTCCCAGGACAGCTCAGCATGGTGAGGTGCTGTCTAAAAACCAAAACCACCAACAACAAATGGGTTCAGCTGATTTGTTTTTACTGGTATGCATCCCTCTACCAACATGGTAAATGTCTTCGCCTTTTTCCCTTGTGATAAAACAGTTGGATAAGAGCAGCTTCGGGGGTTGGAGGAAGGGGTTTATTTCAGCTCACAGCTCGAGGGTGCAGTCAGAGTGGGAAGTCAAGGCAGCCGCAGGTAACAGGGAGGATGAAGGCACGCTGCAGCTCACCCTGCACCCCCCACTTATTCAGTCCAGGGTCCCAGCCCAGGAGTGGCCCTGTGATGGGGGTGGGAGGGTGAGGGCTCAGAGGTCTCCTTGGTGATCCCAGGTTCTGTGGAGTCGACAGCACAAAGCATGCAGTAGCGAGATCGCGGTGGGGGGAACAGCTAGTGAGGCCTCTGAGTGGTTACAGCTGTGTTGTCTTCGACAGATGGCGGTGGTGTGGAAAACATGCCGCCATGTTGATAGTCGCTCCTCAGGAGCACTTCTGCAGCTTGCTGCAGGTCTCCGTGACAGGGCAAGCACAGTGCCATGAACAGCGGCTCCCCCTGCCCTCGCATCCCCGCCTCCTAAGCCTGCATCCCCACATCACAGCACGCACGCCCCTCTGAGCTGTGAGTACAAGCTGTCCAGTTCCCTCACCATTAGATCTGACTGGGGCATCTGAGGGCGTGACACGAACTGTGACGGTCAGGGGCCCACAGTGGGGCTGCAGCTCAGTTGTGGGTGCTCCCCTGGCTTTCACGAGGCCCTGGGTCCATTCCCACTGTTGCCTGCACCCCAAATCAATATCCACATGGGCAGCGCTGTGTTTTACTCCAAAAATTATTCTATGTGTGTAGCTGTTTTGCCTGCATGTATGTCTGTGCACTATTGTGTACCTGGTGCCCGCAGGGGACAGAAGAGGGCATCAGATCCCCATGTAGAGGATTATGAGCCATCCCATGGGTGCTGGGAATTGAACCCAGGTCCTCTGGAAGAGCAGCAGTGCTCTTGGCCACTGACACATCTCTCAAGTCCTAGCAAGTCCCATGTTTAAGCAGTTTTGTTGGTGGTGGTGGTGGTTTTTTTGAGTGTGTGTGTGTGTTTGTGTGGGTGTGTGTGTGTGTGTGTACATGTGTATGTTTGTGGCCCATGCTAACACAGAGGCCAGAATAAGGCATCTAGTGTTCTGCTCTATTACTCTATTATTGCTCTTTTACTGTCCATCTTAGTCCCTCGAGGTGGGGTCTCTCACTGAATCTAGAGATAGCAAACCCCAGAAATCCTCTTGTCTCTCTTCCCTCCTCAGGGCTAGGTTTATGGCTCTGCATGTGGCCATATCTGACTTTTTTTTCCCAACCATGACTGTCCTGGAACTTGAAAAGCTCTGTGTTATTCTGCCTCCCAAGTGCTCCTGAAGATTTAAGGCATGGACCACTCTGACCACGTATAGCTTTTATGTTGTTGTTCAGTTTTTTGAGACATGGTTTCTCTGTGTAGCCCTGGCTGTCCTGGACTCATTTTGTAGACCAGGATGGCCTCATAGAGATCTGCCTGCCTCTGTCTCCCAAGTGCTGGGATTAAAGGTGTGTGCCACCAAGACCCATGAATAGCTTTTTACGTGGATGTGGTGATTTGAACTGGGGGTCCTCAAAGTGTCTTGTTTTAAAGTAAAAACAGGCAACCACTCCCTGATCAGGAGGCTCCTGTGTGTCCCTTGTCCTGAGTACTGACAGTGGTGAGTGGTGAGGTTGTGTGAGAACTGCTTCTGGTGCCTGCGGTGGAGAGGCCAGCTTTAACAGGACACGGGGCCCTGCTCACGCACCAGGGCCAGCTTTAGCAGGCTATGGGGGCCTGGTTGGTCACCCGGGCCAGCTTTATCTGGCAGTAGTGTCTCAGCCCCCTGCCCTGGTGTCCTGAGTCTTTGGGGGCAGGGTGGGCATCCTGACCACAGAGTGGGGATATGCGCCCTGAGAGCAATAACGGCTTTCTCGTTTCCTTCCTGCCAGGGCGGGAGCAGTTCCACGGCCTGGGCTCCATGTACTGCAGGGGGGCGGCGGCCATCATTCTTACCTACGACGTGAGCCACCCGCAGAGCCTGCTGGAGCTGGAGGACAGGTTCCTGGGCCTGACGGAAACAGCCAACAGCGACTGCCTGTTCGCCATTGTGGGAAACAAAGTGGACCTGACCACGGAGCGGGCCGAAGAGGGCGGGGAGAAGGACGGACAGGCCTCGGAGAAGGAGGGCAGCTGTGTCTCCAAGGTGCCCAAGCAGGTGCAGCCGGAGGATGCAATGGCCCTTTACAAGAAGATCCTGAAGTACAAGATGCTGGATGAGAGGGAGATGCCATCTGCTGAGCAGATGTGCTTTGAGACCAGTGCCAAGACCGGGTACAACGTGGACCTCCTGTTTGAGACCTTGTTTGACCTGGTGGTGCCTATGATCGCGCGGCAGAGGGCTGAGGAGCCTTCGAAGGTTGTGGATATAGCCAGCTGCAAAACACCCGAACGGACTAGATCTGGGTGCTGTGCCTGACGGCAGGAGGTCTCCCTCGTGTCGTGTGCCATGTGTGGGAGAAGTTTTGCAGGACACTGCGGACAGCGGGCAATTTGTGGAAATGACTCCCAGCTGCTATTACAGGCCAGAGTACCCAGAAGCCTCCGGGTATCCATCCGGAGGAGGCCGCAGACCCTCTGCAGAGGCAGCCTGGTGCCACCTGTCTGCTGCCCTGTGCGTATCTCCCACCCCCATGGACCCTGTAGTCTGAGGACCTTCCTTGGACTGGCTTTGACTCTGGCTGTCTATACAGCCTGTACTGTGCCTGCTTTCAGAGGCTTGTCTCCACTGTGATTCCAGCACCGTCTCCCTGTTTGATACCTGAACCTTGATGCATTTTGATGATGATTCTCTACATTTAATTTATATAAAATCAGGAATGAATGGCCATTTTTATACTGGGAAAAGCAGGCTACACTTATTAAAAGTGATTTTGGGAAAAGCCTTGTCATCAGGAGTGTTTGGCTTTATTTGAAGCACAGGAGATTCCTTGATTTCCGAGAGCCAGGGTGAGGCCCGTGAATGAAGCTGTTATTAAATGATGACAGTGAGTCTTTCTCTCTAAAGTGTGCTTCCATCGTTACACATGGCAGGATATCTGGATGGGTCTTTTACCAAGCTGTGTGGGCGGCCTGAACTATAGTAGTGGTTATACTCACAGCCTTGATCCTGATCTGCTCTGAAGTGCACTCCCACATTCCAAGTCAAAACCCTTTGTGGTTTTCCTGTGGGCGGTGAGGTGGCCCCTCTGCATGAAGCTGACAGGCACTTGTGGGACACAATAGCCCCTGTGTTCTTAGCGATGTCACTGAGAGCAAGCAGGCAGGAACAGGCTTCCCTGAGGCGGAGAGGCCAGGCCCTGGTCAGATCTGGGGGTGGGATTTGCTAATGCTGCTGAAGGGCCATGTCTTGGTGGGCCAGGCTGCTGCAGGCCTGAGTGGCCTTGCCTGAAAAGCCTGCACCTGCCATGGAGCCTGGGCTAGAGCATCATGGCCAAGGCTTCCTCCTGCTGAAGTGGATCCCAGTGCCCCCACCTTCAGTTTCACAATAGCTTGTTAAAAACAGAAAGTGGGTGAGTTTGCTTTGCTGAGCTGACATATCCGAAGCTTCTGTTCAATAGGAGCAGAAGCTAGACTTCCTGTCTGTGAACTGTAATCTTGACTGGTTACACATCCTGGAAATATGTGACACTTCAGAATGAAACTGTTTTCACATGATATGATTTTTGCAGTTCATGTTTGAGGTCCTGGGTAGGCTGGTGAATTCCCAGGGTCCTCTCTTCACAGTGTTCTCTGACTTGAGTCGTGTCTGCACTGAGTTTCCCAGCTGCTGTCTTGAGAGGTCACATGGCGGGGGGGGGGGGGGCTGGTGTTCAGGAACAGAATGCCAGTTCCACGCCAATCTGCCACCTACAATGTTACAGGAGAAATAAAAGTGACTTTGGGCTCCTAGAACTTTGCTGGCCCTGTGTGGCCCAGGCAAGGGACAGTTAATTCGCCAGATGCTGGCTTAGCAGTCCGTACACCCTCATCCTGCTGGTAAGAAGTCTGTTCAGGAAGAATGAAATGGCATGATGTCGTGAGCCAAGCCCTGGCATCTTTCCTTAGCAGTGCTTCTTGGGAACTTTGTACATCAGCCTTGGTCCCTCCATGGGGAACCAGGTCCCCATGGGACTGGCGTTTCTCCAGGAAGCCACCAGTTCTGTGGGTCACCAGTGGGTGACTTGCCTTTGCGGGCAGTGTGGATCTCTGCAGGATGGGGAAGTGATCTGAGAAATATGCCCCAAACAGTGCCAGGGGCCAGGAGCTGGGGCTGCTGTCAGGCTCCAGGGTGTCCTTAATCAGAGACAGCCCTAGCAGTTTCCCGCTGCTCTTGAGGAATCAAACTTGGCCGTGGTGGCAGGGCGGTTTGAGGTTAGCTATGTCAAATTCTGGCTGCTGCCTGTCTTGAGTGTCCCCATTTTCCTCAGGTCCTGGGACTGGCTTCTTAGAAAGCACAACTGTCATGCCTTCCTTAATCGCCATACTGTGGGAAGAGCTGCTGACTGACAGGAAACAGCCTCCAGACCAGGGCCCGGTTCCTACTTTGTGCACTACATAGTCTTACAGTATGTGCTTTTGCAGAAGCTCTAGAGATGGAGGGGCAGAGGGAGGTTTTCTCTCCCACAGTGGAGGGAAAATGGTTCTTTGTTCCTGGGGGCCCCCAGCTGTGCAGAGCCACCATTGGAGGGATGACCACAGATGTCTGAGAAGGCAGACCCTGACACCCAGGCCCCAGGGACCTCAACTGTGTGGTTCTCCCTAGGGCTTTGTGCCCCTTGAAGATAACATTGGCTGTAGGTCAGGACGGCACTTCCCATCTGTGCTCCCTGCCCTTGGCTGCTGTCGGTGTTCTTCAAGCCTCCATAGCATCATCCCCTCCCCACACTTCTCCTGGGCCTCACAATCAGCTCAGGGAAGCGTGTGCTGGGCACACGGGCACACAAAAGTCCCTTGATGCTTGTCTTGGAAGTCTGTGGGCCCACGCTCTTCCTCAGACAATTGACATGTCTGCAGCTGGCTCCGAGTGGCTCACCACACATGGAACCTACTGCTGTGCCACTCTGAGGAAGTTCTGGCTGGAAGCATGTTCGTTCCGGGGTGAGGACTGGAGGCTCCCAGATTGCAAAGGGCCTGTGAGGCCACTGTGTGTTGGTAGCTAGAATGAGCCTCATGTGATCCCAAGCACTCCTCCGCACCCTGCTCTCCTTAGGGCCGAAGGGGAGGTGGTGCAGCTGGGGAGGGTGCAGGCCAGAGGCTGCACGCTGCTTCTGTCTCATGAATGGCAGGGGTTCTCCTGTCTTCTAAGGGTCCCTCCCCTGGCCCTGGACAGTTCAACAAACTTCATTTCCCACTCCACCTCTCAATCAATTTCTCCCCATGGGGAGTCACAGAGGCCTGGAAATCTCTGTGGGTAATTGAATTTGCTGGCCTGTCGACCCTGATAGAGCAGTGAGGTATGGGAGCTCTAGAGATTCCCAGGGGCCTTCTCAAGTTTGAAATGAGGGTGAAGCCATCAGAAGGCAAAAGGACAACCGTGTCCCACCACAGAGGCGTCGTCTGCCCCTCGGAGCAGCAGATGGCTCCGTAGGAGTCACAGAAATGCTAGGGCTACTTAATGCCACCAAGCTGCCCCCCTCACCCCATCGATCTCCTGCCCTTGGCCTGTGGCCATGCAAAGGACAGAGCAGTTCCTGCCACTCCTGCGTTTGGCAGAGGTGTATCTTCGGGAGGTGATGGAGCGGGGGACTGGTGGGGTACATTTGGACCCAGGGAAGACACATACTCTCTCCATGTCCCTCTGTGTCTTCACAATGGGGCCTCTAGCCTTTGCACTCCGTCCTCCCAAAGGACACTGTGTGAGCTGCTTTTCTACTGCTAAGATAACACACCGTCACTAAGGCAACTTGTAAAAGCAAGCATTTCATTTGGCTTCTGGTTTCAGAGGGTCAGAGTCCGCGATGTTGGTGTGAAGGCACAGCTGAGTGCTCGCACCAGGACCCGCCACAACCGCAGAGAGAAAGCACCAAGAATCCTGAGGCTTTGAAACCTCAAAGCTTGCTCCCAGTGACACACTTCCTCCCATAGGGCCATATCCCAGGCAGGTTCCAGAGCCATCAGAGGCTGGATGATGCTGATGTGGAGCTGGAAGCCATATTGGGACTGGTGAAGGACCTCGGGAATGTACTTAGGGGTCCCAGCTTCCCCACTCGGACATGTGAGTGATTCCCAAACAATTCCTTGATTGTTTGAGTGATACACTACAGACAGGGACCAGATCTGCTGAAACAGAAAATGGCAGGTTGCTCCCACTGAATCACACACATGCTGAGACAGGTGGATCCTTGGGGCTTGCCGGCCGGGCAGGGGGATGGGGGGGGATACGAGAGTCAGCCCGATACTTAGAATGTCTTTTATTTGTTGTGTTACACAGGGAAGTCTTAGAACAGCTCGCTGCAGGGACCGAGGTTGGGGAGGGAGGTGTTTAGGGTGACACAGGTTGTGGACGCCACTGTGAATGCCTTGCTAAGTGCTCCTTCCAGTAGATGCTGGTGAGGGCTAGAGAGACCTCGCCTTCCCGGTGGGTTCGGCTGGTACGAGCCATGTGCCAGAGTCAGGGTCTTAAAAAGGCAGGCGCCATCATGTGGGGACTCGGGAGGCGGCAGCTGTCGATTTGGTAGAAAACGGTACTCCCCTCCCTCCGCCAGGAAAACAGGGCTAGACAGAGGGCACTGCAAGCCTCCTTGGGTGGAGACAGGTGACAGACAGGTGACAGAGAACCCCAGCCGTCACTGGCCACAGTCTCATCTGTCGCCCGGCAGCGTCTGCCTTATTTTAGGGAAAGAGGGGAGGAAGGTGAGCCGCCTGCAGCCAGTGGACGTGGAGGGACACACAGGACAGTGACTGCTGGCTGCACCTGACGGCACGATACCCATGTCCCACACGGTGAGGGCTCCAGGAGCTGGGTGTCAGCACGGCTGGGGGCCACGCGTGACGGAGCCCAGAGGAACCAGCGCCCATGTGCTGACAGGCAGGCGACCGCTGTGAGTGCTGGTGCAGAATTGCTTTGGCAGTTTTGTTCTTAAAGGAAATACTACGATCAACTTTGGGGTCAGCATCTGAGGTAATAAGTTACGAGTAAGCACCAAGCTGGGTGTGGTGGCACACGCCCGTAATCCCAGCACTTGGGAAGCTGAGGCCGCCGGAGGTTTGCCACAAGTTGGAGGCCGGCCGGTTACATGGTTCCCGGCTGGGCAGGGATGAAAAGCGAGACACTGTCTCAAACAAAAGAACAAAAAAGAAACAAGTACAAAAGGGTAAGCACCAAAGTGGCCTTCCCCCAGCTGCTGGCAGGGCGGTGGCTCACAGGTTCTTCATGCACACTTGGCAGCGGCTGATGTGTGTGCGGATGAGGCCTGCCTTGAGTGTGTCGGCGGACGGCGTGCTCTGGAAGTTCTGCTCGGGGATGGTGGTCAGCCAGAAGCTGTACTTGTTGGCGAAGTAGTGGCAGGTCCCGCGGCCCCCGTTACACTCGATGAACGGCGTGGCACGGAAGTCCTCCAGGCAGCTGCCCGGCGACACCAGGGACTGGCCGCCGCCTTCGTCCCCGGCTGCAGTGTGCTGTGCGGAGAGGAAGATGGAGTGTGAGAGGGCCCGGAGGCCTGAAAACACCCAGGCCACTCTGCTGACTGTGCTATTTACATATGTTTAAGGCAGAACCTCACTACATCGCCCGAGCAGGTGCTGAAGTCGTGGGCTCAATGATTGCTCCTCCCTTAGAGTCCCAAGCAGCCCAGCTGAAGAGCATGCACCCCCATCCTCATTTACAGGCTCTCACATTGCACAGCCTGGCCTCAGGCTCTCTAAGTGGCAGAGGATGGCCTCCACTTCCTGAGCGAGCTGCATCGTTGCTCCCTGTTTGCTCACTAAGCCAATAACGGGAATGTCTGTCTACACAGACCCTGGGGAGCATGCTCTGCCTCCAGGTGCTCAGCGGTGCTAAGGGGCCTGGGCCTCACACAGAACGTTGCCCTGATGATGAGGGGGTGTTGCAGGCGCAGGCAAGGCATGCACTGTTGACTACTGTTCAACAGAGGCTGCAACCGGGAAAGAGGTGCAGTCTGGAGAGATGGCCGACTAAATTTTGGTTAAACAATTTTAAAAGGCTATCAATTATCCATTCAAAATGCCTAGTATATGGGGGGGGGGGAACTGAAATAGGCTGGGCTTGCTTGCTCATGGTTTTTAGGTTTGTTTTTCCTTTTTTTTTTTTTTTTTTTTTTTCCAGAGAGGGTTTCTCTGTGTAGCACTAGCTGTCCTGGAACTCACTCTGTAGACCAGGCTGGCCTCAATCTCAGAGATCCACCTGCCTCTGCCTCCCAAGTGCTGGGATTAAAGGCATGTGCCATCACCTAGAAGTAGCTCATGTTTGTAAGCTGAGGCAGGAGGATTGCCAAGAATATAAGGATAGGTTGGGATACCGAGTGGGACTCTTTCAAAAGAGCCAAAACTAAAACAAAGCAAAGAAAATTAACACAGGGAGCGAACACCACAGGACCAGCCACGCGGGGACCCAGCACAGGAGTGCGCACCCCAGGCTTCCACCAGCGGGTGCATTGAGACCGAGCAGTCAGCGCATGCCGTGTAGGGGTATGCTGCACCCCAGAACGATTCTGTGCAAGGGCCTCAGCACTCTGCAGAGAATTCTTCCATTAACTTAAACTGTGGTGAAGCAGAAAGCGTGGACTTAGGTGCTAAGACAGAAAAATTGCATTTTGTGCAAATGTGTGGTGGCAAATCAGTCCTGGAATCGTGTGGAGAAAGCCCCTGGCCTGGCACATGGCTCAGCTAGCCCGGATCAAGCTGAGGCAGAGTCCTCTGCTTCTGTTCCAGGTGCCCTCGTATGGCAAGCCGCTTGAGCAATTGTCCTGTGCGGTTACTGGTATGGTTAGTATGTGTGTGTGTGTGTTTGGGGGAGGGGGCTCCATGCATGCTCCTGACATGGGTGCTGGGATCCAGACCTTACTTACTGAGCTCAGATCTGCAGCCCTGATTTACTGTTCCAAGTCCGTGTGTCCTTCCTATGTCTCAGCTAGGGCATAGATGGGGATAGCTCCACCTGGCCCCACGAGGGGAATGGAAAAACACCACATACCATGAGGAAGGAGTACCCGATCCACAGGCTCCGCCAGCCGGCCGGGCAGTGGGGGATGGAGACATCTTGGCTGTGGACGGCGATGGCCACGGCCGGGGCCTCGCACACAGAGCAGCGGCTGATGTAAGGCTTGATTTCGTCCTCAGCCACGGGCATCATGGGCAGTGGAGCAGTGGTGGACAGCCAGTAGGACTTGTCATTGCGGCTGGCGTAGTAGCAGACATCCCCGGGGTTGCAGTACAGAAACGGCATCGTGCTGAAGCGTGCCAGGCAGGAGCCCGCCAGCCCTGTGTGAGGAGCAAGTGACAGTCTAGCCCTGTGCCCGCCTCTGCTGTGCTGCCACAGGGCACAAAACTGGACCCAGCTGGGCCAGAGGCGCTCTCCAGCCACTTCGGTCAGACAGCGACCACCCTCAGCAAAGCAGCAGGCTTGCCCTCACCCCCAACCACTGTTCCTACTGCCATTTCGGGGCCTATCCCTGCCTGCCTTTCCCCAATGCACAGTACTGTGGGAAAGCAGCCACAGGCGGGCATGGCCACAGCGCTGGAGTCCAGCTGGCACCCTTCCAGGAGCTGATGGGCCTGCTGTCACCAACACTGACAGACAGAACACTCCAGCCTTCCACATGCACTTGGGCCCTCTGAGGGACAGCAGGCAGAGACAGCACAGGCTTTCACCTCGTGTGTTTTGTGTGTGAGTTTTAAATCCTCTGAAGTCATGCTCATGGCCTTTAAAGGTGCACATAGGCACAGGCCTGTTCTTTTCTGAGCATCTGTGTAAAGGCCGGATTTAAGTCCATCCCCTCATGCCTGTCTGGCTGCAGCTTATGTTCTAGGTTTGGGTCAAAAAGCAAGAAAATCATGAAGCAACTGCAGTCTCCATTTGGAGGGAGGGGCTCGTTAGTTACTTGTGAGGCAGGGATACTCGGATACTCTGTCAGATTAAAAGGCCCCATGGGAGGTCCTGAGGCTGTGGGTGTAGTTAAGACTTCTGTCTCCAAGGCCCTCTCAGCCTCTGCCAGCCTGGAGGTGGTGGGCTGGCCATGTGGCCGGGAGAAGCTCACGACGATCTCCCCGTGACCACCCTCAGGCCGGGAGGGGAGCTGGGGCCGACAGCAGTACCCACCGAGGTCCTGGTTGTGGGCTTTCTCCTGGCCCTCGAAGTACAGCAGGCTGTACCCGCTCCATAGCTTGTTCATGCCCACGGGACACATGGGCTCCTGCTCCGTCTGGCTGTGCTTTACCAGGAGGTAGCCGATGCTGACGCTGCGGCCAGGCATCCCTGGCAGGCCTGGGTTCCCTGGACGGCCTGGCTCCCCTAGGGCCCGAGAGAAAATGGCCATTGTTCAGCTGCCGTGGGCCCTCAGGGCACCAGGGCAGAGGACAGTACCTCAGTTCATTTAGGACACCCCTGTTCCTTCTCCCCAAAGCGTGGGGCTCAGTCCCTCTAGAACAAAAGCCTCGTGAAAGACAGACATGCACCAGCTGAGGAAGGTAACAGGACAGTAATGCTGGCACGAAACATGAACAGAAAGGAATAAAAAGCAGAGTGGCCTCAGGGAGAGCTGGGCGCACAGCAGAACTGGGGCATCTTGGGGTAAGAGGTGTCAGGGAACGGTCAGTGCCGCTGCCACCACCCCTGCAACCCGCCTCTTCCTCTCAGGATGGCCATTTCTCAGACCAGCAGCGCAGGGCAAGATAGGTTGTTCGGGGTTCTCGTACTCTTCAGTAAGAGTGAAAGCTCCCCATTGTAACTGTTGCTGAGGCTCCGGCTCTACCCAGGAGGCCCAGAGAGCATCTAGCCTGGCCGTCAGCAGCCAGCTGGCCCTGTCACCCGCCGTTCTCCCTGAGGCACATCCTCTGTGTCTTCTCTCAGGCCTCCCTTCCCCACCGCAGTCCCTTGCGGGGACTGACTCTGACCTGTCCCTGCAGCAGAATGTGTGTCTCCGTTACTGCAGTGGACGCCACGAGCGCTCCTTGGTGGGTCACTGCTCTGAGGGGCGGGCAGCAGCCCTTGTGTTTTATCGTGGCACAGCTACCATGCCGAGCTTGGCTTGATCAAAACAAATCTTTTTGGGTATGTGCACGTTGCTGTTACTTCTGGCTCATTTCCTCGTGCACATGTACAAATAATTTTTAAGAAATAACACAGGTCTTTACCAGGACATGGCTGGGGTGAGGCTGCAGCCAGGCTTAGGAGCTGCTGTTTCCCAGCTTTGCCGGCTGCCGGTCTGTTCCTTTCCTGCAGACCGTCATGGCGTCCCCACCCTCGGCAGTACTCCATCCCGTCAGCCCCTGTCACGTACCTTCCTGGCCGACTGGGCCTTGCTGCCCCATGGGCCCTTGGTCTCCCCGGAACCCTGGAACAGCAGACACGCCACCTCTGCCCTGGGGCCCAGCCTTGCCTGGAGCCCCGCGGAAACCTGTAAGACGCCATATCAGTGCGAGTTAGTGCGCTTAGCCGTGTGCTGTCCAGCTGAAGAGGATGAGGCAGGTACAGAGCAAAAGGGACCGAGGGCCCTGGGGTGACAGGGCCAAGCCCCAAGCCCTACCTGGATCTCCAGGAGGGCCCTGAGGCCCTATCTCTCCCTGTGCACCGGGAAGGCCTCTTCTGCCCTGGGGACCCATGGGTCCTGGCTGGATGGCGATCTTCTGGGGAATGCCTGGAATGCCTGGTGATCCCACAGAGCCAGGCGTACCTACAAGGCAGAGGAGCCATGAGTATTGGACAGAGAACTACCTCACTTTGCCACGTGGATCTCACCTGCTTATTCTCACCAAAGCCTATCCTAAGGGCACACAGAGACACATCCCGCCCTGACCACTGACCTCCCAACTTCCACCAAGCCTCTGAGAGCACTGGCAGCCTGCCTGGCTTTTCGCTCAGCTCTTTAGAGAATGAGGCAGGTGCTAGGTCGGAGCTGTCACTCACGGGCTCCAAAGCCTCCACTCACCTGGGAATCCTTGGTCTCCTTTGGGCCCTTTGGGACCTCTGTTGCCCACAGCCCCAGAGGGCCCAGTGTTTCCCATGAGTCCTTGCTCACCCCTAGGCCCTGAAATGAAGACAGAATAGTCAGGACCAGGGCACGGTATAGGCTCTGCAGCCCCAGTCCACAGCATAAGTCCCTTCATATGGACACTGTTACCTTTCTCCCCTGGAAAACCGTGCACGCCAGGCTGGCCCTGGGGCCCTGGGTCCCCAACCCATCCTTTCTGTCCAGGGTTTCCTGTAGCTCCGGAACTTCCCTCATCTCCTTTGACTCCAGGAAGCGCGTTTGGCCCAGGTGGTCCTGGAGGGCCTCGGTAACCTGAGGGCGTGTCACAGCGGGAAGGTTACCATCCTCATGGACTCTGTCCCTGTTAAACCTCAACCCTCAACCCTCCACACCCTCTTGACCCAGGAACGCTTGCTCCTCTGCGTCTGTGAGTTTGACTGCTACGTGGAACAACATTATTTATCCTCGTGACTGAGAAACTTCCTTGAGCATTCTGGCCTTATCCCTGTCATAGTGTGCATGTCAGAAATTCTATCCTTTTAAAGGTTGGCTATTAAGATGGCTCAGGGGTTAAGAACACTGGCTGTTCTTCCAAAGGTCCTGAGTTCAATTCCCAGCAACCACATGGTGGCTCATAACCATCTATAATGATATCTAGTGCCCTCTTCTGGTGAGTAGGCACACATGCAGGCAGAACACTGTATATGTAATAAATCTTAAAAAAAAAAAAGGTTGACTGTTGTACTATGATGTGTAAACTCTATTTTGCTTATTTTTTATCTTTTACCAATGGTCACTTGGACTGCCTCTGTCTCTCAAATGTCTTATATAATGTCTCTAGGAACATTGACATTCAAATAATAATAGGTTAATCTTTATACCATCTCCTCTCCTCCCTATTTTTGTTTTTCATATTTGGTCTCACCCCCCAAAGCGCTGGGATTCCAGGCATGCGCTACCAGCTCTGTCTCTTTTTAGTACTTAGCTAGTTTGTGGTGGACGTGGTGGTGATTAAAGACACACATACTAAATGGAGAGGAAGGAGCAAGGCAGGCACAGGGTTTATCCTGTCTTGCGATGTCATGGGGACCACGTCGTGTAATGAGACCTGTCCCTTTGCCTGTCTGCACAGTGTGTGAAATAAATCTGGACCCCTAGACATGTCAGCCATCATAGCCCTGCTTACCTTCCAAGCCAAATATTCCTGGCGCCCCTATATCACCAGGTGAGCCGGAGATGTTGGATGGTGGAGAGATGCCGGGGAAACCCTGAAGTCCTGGGCTTCCGGCTGGGCCACGCTCCCCTTAGGAGGAAAACAGAAGTCAATTTAGTGCTAGGTGCCACTTTCAGGGATTTCCGTTGGCTCTTGTGTTGTTCTGTCTAGAGGAACAGTGTCATGGAGGGGAGATAGGTGTCCTTGGGACAAACAACATTTCAGGGAGGGAGAGGCACGAGCCTGGGCTCAGGAGGCTGGAAAGTGAACCAGTGAAAGTGAACCCTCCGTGTCTCACTAGCTCCAGTGGCCACCATGCGTGCTGAGAGCCCACTAGAGGGCATGGTCTTCAGACACCCGCATGAGAAAGCAGAGCCCATGAGGATGGGTGCTGGAGTCCATGGCCACAGCTAATCTTCCACTCAAGGACTCACCACCACCAAAGGCAAGCAGGCAGGGAGAGCTTTTCCTTCACCAACTGAGTGGGGCTGGAAGATGAGCCAGCATTGGGGTAAAACAAGCTGGACCATAGAGGACAGTCATGGAGTGACCTTGGACACGAAGCTTCATTATAGGCTGTGGGTTCAGCTCACGGAGACAACACGGCTACTTACCTGGGGTTCCGCGCTCCCCTTTCTGCCCTGGAGCTCCCACAGGGCCTGGAAGTGTGTTAGCCTCTCCTCGGTCACCCCTGTCTCCAGTGGGGCCTGGGAACCCTGGGTCTCCGTGGACATCAGCCCCTGCGGTAAAGTCATAACAGCGGAGGTTGACACCAGCTCCATCCGTGCAGAGGAAGCGGCCTGCCTTGTGTGGTATGGCAGGCCTCAGAGAGTGAAATAGGGAAACGGAGGCAGCCGCCAGTGTCTTCCAGCTCTGGTCTCAGCATCATGGAATTCCAGACTGAGAACACGGTGGGACCTTCTCTCTATGGGCAGAAAAGCTCAGCCTTCGGACAGTGTGAGCTCATGGCAGCGGCTGGCCAGTCTCCCGGTTCTCATGGCTGCTCTCATCCTCTGCCTTTGCTGGGCTTTGGAAATCTGACCTTATGTAAAATAGTCCCTGTTCACAGGGCAGGTGCTCAAAGTAAAGAGCAGTACAAGTCTCAATGATATGCCACGGCCTCACCGTGACTGTTGTAGCCACCACAGCTTCACCGTGCCTGCCACAGCCTTGCCACAATTGCTACAGCCTCACTATGTTACGACTTTACTAGGATTGCTGTCATTTGCCCATCTGAAACTAGAACCCAAATGTTAATGGGAACATGACTGCATGAATTTCCCTGCAGGCAGGTGAATGCTTAGTAATGTAATAATCTGCAAAGTCTGGTCAAATAGCAGTTATAGGATGCTGCTTTCCCCCTTCTTGTTAATTTTTTTTTTTTTTATCTGAATGTGGATGACTTTTATAAGTTGTAGAGAAGACAATAGGGGGTCTGGCAATCCCAGGCCAGAACTCTCAGTCTCCAACACTGTGATGGGGGCTGGGCCACCGCTGGGTACCTGGGGATCCAGGGAAGCCTTTGGTGCCTGGCAGGCCGTGTAATCCGCTGATGCCTCGGATTCCTGGGAAACCTGCAGGAGATTGGCATGCCATTAGTCGTGCCATGTAGGACGGCAGGGGGCTCTGGCTTCGAGTGCTCCCAGGACAATTTGAACATGGCTTTCTCTGTGCCCGTCGGCAGCACTGACCTTTATCTGACATGCAAACTGTCACTCTCATGTGACCCACACTTTTCAGACGTCTAGGACTCATGGGTGGGGTGCTTGCTTCCAAGCCTGACAGCCTGAGTTCAGTCTCTGCATGGTGCAGGCTGACCTTTGACTTCCCTCCCCTGCATGTTCCATGGCATAGCCTGCTCTCAATCAGCTACATGTGTATGCACGCCCAAAGCCTTGCTCGGAGCAGAGAGCCTGCTGTTACTTCCCTTCCTTCCGTTTCTGAGGCTGAGCATTTCTAAAGGACACAGAACACTGGTGACCACTGGGTTGGGTGTGGTCTCGGGAGCCCGGGGCTTTGCAACCTTTTACAGGGGCACATGGCAGCCAGCGACGGAACATGAGGGCTCTTGTGTATGTCCTTCTGACATGCTCATATTCTGTGTAGAGTGATTAGAGAAAGGTCAGAGACCTCCCTGGAAGCTTCAGGTCACTTTCCTGTGAGCATATGCACTCTCTTGCCTAAGAGTATGTCTGGCCTTTTGGCCTGTGGACCGAACAGCCGCAAACCCACACTCAGAGCATCCTGTGGCCAGTTAGCCCCCGACACACCTGCCCCAGTGTACCCCTGGAGACAGGAGATGCAGCCTACGAGAGGCTCCTACCATTGCGACCTGGCAACTTGGCCCTGAACATTGGCGGTCACTCGTTTTTCTTCCTGAAAAGAGAATCCCTTACCTGGTAGACCTGGCACGCCTGGCCAGCCGTAATCGCCCTTCTCGCCGGGCACTCCGATCCGTCCAGGCTCTCCCTGTGGCCCTTGCAGCCCTGTGAGCCCTGGAAAGCCTATGGAGAAATGTGCAGGTGAGAGACCTCGCAGGCGGAGCAGGCCTATGGGGCACCTCCCATGAGGCCCTAAGCCTCGTGCATTCCCCACTATTAGGGATTCCCATAGCCCATGTGGCATCGCTGTGTGACTCTGTGCACACAGAGTCAGGCAAGTGGGAAGCATGTACAGGCCAGCCTCTTGGAGCTGAGTGACTGCGGTGGAAGAGGAAATGGCAAAGGTGGCTGACCCCTTGCTCCTAGATGGCCACAGCCCTGGGGCAGGCTGTGGCTACGATCTTACCTGTCTGTCCTTTAAGTCCGGGAGAGCCCTGGGCCCCCGCCATGCCTGTTATCCCAGGAAATCCAACGTCACCCTCAGCTCCTTTCTCCCCGAAGAATCCCTTGAGACCTGGAAGCAGAGATTTGCTGTGGAGTGTGCTTTCCACGAGAGACACGTGTTGACATGTGTGCTGCACCTGCCGCCTCCCAGATGGGGGCAGCTTCTGGCCACCGTCACTGCCAGAGGTGATGGACGGGCAGACATTTGCTGAGTCTGTCCCCCAACTTAGGAAATGATTCAGACTCACTCATGCACATTGGCACTGGCGGCCTCAGCCATTCACAGAAGTCTCTTAGGACTTCAGCAAACACTAACACCTCAGCCAGCCAGGCCCAGAGGCAATGCTCTGGGCTGCTGGCGGCTGAAGAAACAGAGTAACTGTGTACCTGGAATTCCGGTGACTCCCCGTTCCCCCTTCAGTCCTGGGCTTCCCGGCAAGTTCACAGTATCCCCAATGTCACCTGCAGCATGGGGAGAGTCGGTGAGCTCAGGCTTCGCTGCTGGGAGGCAGTCAGCACTGGACCCCCACTGGGCAGTTTGGCTCCAAGGCCTGGCAGCACCCCAGGCCTGACGGCCCCTCCCAAACCTAGGAGCTTTGAGCTCTGTCCCCATGACACTCACCAAAGTCTCCAGTGGGGCCAGCCTCGCCAAAAACCCCTGCTATTCCTGGGGCACCCTTGTCACCCTAAGCCAAAACCAAGCAGAAGCAGTGTTAAGGCTTCCACACAGAAACCCCAGGACAGGGGCCGGGGTAGCTGGTGGGTACCCAGGTCGCTGCTGACAGGCTCAGGGAACCCGTGGCTCTTAGAACAGCTTTCGAGGCTTCCAAGATCCCAGAGGACAGGAGGGGAGCAGATCTCATGGAACAAGCAGGCAGGGGCGCCCACTCACCCGGCTTCCTATGAATCCTGGGAACCCCGTAATTCCAGGAGGGCCAATCACCCCCGGAAACCCGGGCAAGCCTGGTGTGCCAGGGACTCCGATGTCTCCCTTGACTCCTTTGACATGGCCGGGCCTCCCAGGGAGCCCAGGGATTCCAGACAGCCCGGGGACTCCGGGCATGCCTTGGATACCTGTAGGAAGATAACCTAGTAAGTAAGGCCTGGTGAGGGGCAGGACCGTTTTCCCGTGCCAGCAACTGCATTCTGGGCACCCCCCTCCCCACTGTCCAGAGCTATAAACCACACACAGGAAAGGGGCATGGCTCTGCTCAAGAACAGAGCTGAGCCCAGCTGTGGAGACACTGAGGCGTGGGGTGACTAAAGCACAAAGCAAGCTGGGCAGAGTTCAGAGCGCCCCGAGTCAAGGCAAGGCGGGGCCCGGCTGGGACAGGGCTGGTGTCTTACCTTTTAAGCCCAAGTGGCCTTTCAGACCCATTGGCCCTTCATCTCCCTTTTCTCCTTTAATGTCCTTCATCCCTGGCAGGATGAGAGGAGGTGGTCCTGGGGGACCCCGGTCTCCTCGGTTTCCTGGAAGGGGACAGAATTCTGTCATTTCCCAAGGCCCCCGGGATGGTTCGAGAATGAAACACTCCAGCTCCCAAAGAGCCTGTCTCTATGTTTCCTTTTCCTTGTTTCTTTTTTCTTCTCTCTTTTCCATCCATTATTTTTAAGCATCTTTGTTGATGTCAAATTTATTTATATACCACACAACTCACTGTTTTTTATTTGTTTGAGAAAGGCACTCAACATGTAGCTTTGGCTGTCCTAGAACTCACTACGTACATGTACCAGGCTAGCCTTGAACTCATGGAGATCCAACTGCCTCTGCTTGCCAAGTGCTGGGGTTAGAGGCATGTACCACCACACCATGCTATAACTCACTGTTTTAAAGAGCCATTGCCATATCTAACCTTAGAACAGGGAGAACTGAGCCCTGAAATTCTTCCCAGGTGTCCTCCCCCAGGCCTTGGCATCTGCTTATCTGCTCTCATTTACAGGCTCACTTATCCCAGACAGCTCACACACATGGAACTAGGAGAGCTTAAACCAGGGGTTCCTGCTCATTCATCCTTGCATGTTCTGTCCTGTGTCTATGCCACATTTTATTCATCTGTGGTTGGGAGGATGTTTGGCTTGCTTCCATTTCTGGTTATTCTGAACACTTGTGTAAAAAAAAAAAAAATCTTCCCAGAGATAAGTTTTCAATTATCTTTTCCAAGGGAATTTATTGGTAGGTCCATGTTTAACTGTCCTTCCTTTTGGAGTACTGTTCCTCCTTTGCCAAAGGCACATCTGTTCTCTCTCTCTCTCTCTCTCTCTCTCTCTCTCTCTCTCTCCCCCCTCCCTCTCTCTGAGGCTGGGTCTCACTATGTAGCTCTGTCTGTCCTTGAACTCACTCTGTAGACCAGGCTGGCCTCGAACCACTGCCATGAACTTTTTTCTGGAGACTTCCCTATGAATAGCATTGTCTGATCTGCTGTCAGTGCGTGGAAGAGGTGGAAGGGGGTCTTGATGCTGTGATCACCTGACTGGCTGTCTTCAGCTTCCTTTGCGGGCTCTGGATGCTGAGAGCAGCATGAGCTGTCACCGGGCTGAGCCACTGTTCCCCGAGGAGGATCCATTTGCTGGCGTTATTTATTAGATGCTCTGGAGTGGATCCGAGGGTCTCCTGCTTGCTGGGGACGGACCCATCGGCCATATGCTCTGCCACTAAGCTTCAGCAGCATCGCTTTCCATGTTTTCTTAGGACATTTTTACTTTTTGAGATGGTGTCTCACTAAGTTACTCAGGCTAGCCTGACCCCCTTGCTCTAGCCCAGTGAAGGCTTGTATTTTTGAGCCTCTTGCTTGCACTTCCTAAGTAGACATGCTTGAAAGCATCACTGTCATACCTGGCTCGTTTGCTTGTTAATTAGCACAGACTCTACAAAACCATAGGATTCATCAGGACATTTTCATCCACACACTACACACTTGGGTCCTGGCTGCTTATCTCCTTTTCTCTCTCCTGTTGGTCCCCTTTCTCTTCCTGTCCTTCTTGTATTTTCATGGTGTGCTTGTGCATGCACACACACACCTGTGCATATAAGTGTGTGTATTTGTTCTACATACAAGAGAAAATGTAATATTTGAACATCTGTCCTGCTGAGTCTGCCTTATTTACCAACACAGAGAGCCCTGGATCCTAAGCCAGGTCATACCTTTAACACCTGGCTCGCCAGGCAGGCCCTTCGCACCACGAACTCCAAAGAATCCAGCCTCTCCCTTGATTCCTGGGAACCCCGGCCTTCCCTTGAGCCCCAACATGCCCTGGAAGCCATCCATTCCGGGTGACCCTCGATCGCCTTTGGAGGAAGAGGAGAAGTTAGGGACCAAGTGTGTGGGACACAGCAGCTTCATGCATCCTTGACACTGTAGCCATGCACTCACATGAGAGCCTGCTAAGACCCTTACCCTGAGCGTGGATTTCTGGGAAAACCTCTTTTTTAGGAGACAGAGGATGTAGGGCCCAGCTGTCTGCAGATAGGAGCCCATGGAAGTCAGGTGGAAGGCAGTATGAGGTGGCGCAGAATGAGGATTTTGAATGGGCCCCACAAATCAAAGCAACCCCAGTTCTGTTGGCAGCATGGGAAGAGGCCAATGGCTGTGGGGAGGTTCCCTCAACTTCCACCAAGGAGAGGTCACTTGCAATTGCCTGTGTGTGAGGTATTCAACTCCAGGGGCCAGGTGTTCAATAAATAGGCCATCACCCTGGAATCCAAACCTGTTTTCAACAGATTCTCTGTAGAGCCTTGCCTGTGTTGATAACCCTGAGGGAAGGCCCCCTTCCTAGCTAAGGTGACAAGCTGGCTTGCTGAGGGACAGTATGCAGAGCCAGCTAGTGTCCTAGGGTCCTGTGGCTTCAGGCCTGCAGGTGTGTGAGGGCAGTCTCCAGCCAGCTGTGGGGCCCCGGGCAGCTGCTCCAGGCAGGCTCGGCCCCAGCAGGGGAATCCCTTGCCTGGCCTTGCATTTACCTTTTTGCCCAGGGATGCCAGGCATCCCTACCATTCCTTTAAATCCAGGGCTTCCAGGATGGCCACGCTCTCCTGACATGCCGGCGTCACCTCTGTCCCCAGACAGACCTTTCATGCCCACAGGGCCAGGGACCCCAGGGTCACCAGGCTCACCCCTGTCTCCAGGCAGACCTGTCAGAGAGAGGAGCAAAATTAAAGGGCATAGGGACAGCCCTTAGGATGCCTTTGAGAAGATAAATTTCCTAGGTGGGGGCCAGAAAACTGACCTGACAGAGATGATGAGCTTAAAATGAGCCCCGCAGGGAGAGACTTCCTAGTGCGGTCACTGTAACCAAGCAGAGGGCTGACTATGGGGGGAGGGGGAGTCCAGTGTGGCTCTCCCCAGGTACGGCTCCCCCCAGGTTTGGCTCTGTGGCGATGGGATGGAGCGCAGTGGGAACCAGCTGGCTGTGACAGGTACAGTGACCCAGGGTTAGCCTAGAGCTTGGTGGAGGTCCTTGCTAGGCCCTGCTCTTTCCTGATTCTCTGCCCAGTCCTGACTCCCGTAGACTTCTACTGCCCTCCCCCACTCCCTGCTGCTCACAGCAAGGAGCTGGTGGGTTTCAGATCCGTCCTTTGCTACGTTTGTCTGTTTCCAATCTCCAGTGGCCCCCAGCTTGGAATTCATCACCTTCTACCCTTTGTCAATCTCTTTACCCAGATCACTGCCCCCTCCTTTAAATAGGACCTCAGCCCAGCCCTGGGGTGCTCGTACCTCTGTCCTGGTTGCCCCCTTCCTTATGTGTCTTCTCCTCACTCCAGTGCCGCTGTCTCCTTCTCTGTGCCAGGATCTTCCTATCTGCCTGACTCCTGGCCTCTGAGACATGCGGCTTCCAGCTCCAGCCTCTGCCTGCCTCACCCTGGCTAACCACAAGCTTGTTCAGACTGAGATCAGCTACCTAATAACATGAGGCCACATAGAACGGGGTCTTTGTGTTTTTTCTCATGGATCTTCACAGACCATGTGTGGACTAGGAGCTGGCGAGCCCTCCGGGACATGCTGGCAGGCTTCTCAGCCATTTGCCACTTTGCAAACACAGGCATCAGCTGGCTTCTATGGGGTCCAGACAAGGCCACATATAGGGACCCCTGAGACTAGCACACCAGGAAAGGCCTGGCTTGCAAGGTGTGTGTGGATGTCTATACACAGCTGATTGTCTAAAGAGCCAGTGAAGGCAGGTGCCAAGTTAGTTCCTGACTGTGGCAAACTAGGGGTTAGAGTTTTTTTTTTTTTTTTTTTTTTTTAAAAAGCTTAGGAGTCTTACCTCCAAGGCCGGGGGAGCCTGGCAGCCCCAAGGGCCCCTCTCGGCCAGGAGCTCCTGGGAATCCATGCTGTCCTGGGGGCCCAGACAGTCCTGGCTGTCCCGAAGGTCCTGGGAAGCCTGGCTGTCCTTTAAGCCCTGGCATTCCGGGCATCCCTTGGCTTCCTGCAGGAATGGAGACAAGAGCTGTGAGACCACCTCTGTTTTTCCACCACAGACAACATCTACATGATCAGACTCTGTCTATAAATACATGAACAGGAGTCAATCAGGACTGAGAACGTCTGCACACCACAGGGGGAACAGAGGATAAAGCCACAAAAACACACGCGCCACCGAGAAGCCAGTGTCTCCAGTGTTTCCTTCTGCCTTTGCTACTGTGTGAGTATCCCAGCAAAGAGAACTCCCTAGATGCCACACTGTAAACCCCTCCTTAGGCCAGCTCTTTCAGCGTGGCAATATTAGCATCCAGCCACATTTAAAAGTATTCTTGAGGTCTGGACAGACAGCCCAGTGGTTAAGATTCAGCTCTGCTCTTACAGAAAACCTAAGTTTACTTCCAGCTCTAGGGGCTCTGTCGCCCTCTTCTGGCTTCCTTGTGTATCTGCACTCACATGTGCCCTCGCACAGACACACCCACAGAAACATAATTAAAAATTCAAACTAAAACTTACAAATTTTTTTTTTCAAACGCTTAGCTGTGTGAATAAAGCATCCAATCATATGGACACACTGGGGTGTGCTCTATTCTCTTCTCCCAGCCACCTGCTCTTAAGGCAGTGCTACGAGGAAGAGTGTGGGGTTCAGGGCACACAGCCACGGTTGGGTTACAGATGACTTCTTCAGTACTCAAGACATTGATGAAACAAGCCAAAGCAAATGCTAGCCATTCTTAAAGCATTGTGCCAATTCACCAAATGGCCAGTGTCCCCCAGCATCACTCCCCACACTAAGGCAAAAGCAGGGACCTTGCCGATTGGGGAGGGGGTGGTGTGAGGGGCAGTTGCATGCTTTTGATGGCTGGTAGCATTTCTTTGTTTTCCAGGAGCTTTATTCTTTGGACAGTTTGCTATTTTCCTTATGGATGTTAGTTCTCCTTTCGAGAAGTGTACCATCACTTTGTTTTTACAATCCAGACAATGAACATGTTTCTGGAAGGGGGACATAGTTTGGGACTCTGATATGCAGATGTGAGCTCCTGTGTGTGTGTGTGCGCACACACGCAGTTTCTTCGCTTGCCTTTGCCATGCCCTGCCCCGATAGCTACATCAGCCCCTCTCTCCAACAAGCACGCTAGGCCACAAGCGATGCAGCTGCAGGTTGAATCCCACCCAGGAGCTTCTGGGAACGTCCCTCCCAGTGTCCAGACTACAGGTCTGAGGAAAAGGCAGCCAGCCTGCATGGCAAGGCCCAGGAGCGAGAGCAGAGGTCAGAGGCTTTGCTATTGTGACAGGTCTCAAGGCCAACGATTCCTGGCCATGGAGGGCTAGCATGTTGTTAACTCCAACACTCCACAGCTGTGCCAGACTGAGTGAAAACAGCAAGACCATATTCTCTCACACGTCCAACGCCCCTGGGAAGGACCCTGCTCCCACCCTGTGGGACTGCAGCGCAGCAGGACACACGCTTCCCCCGTCGGGTGACTCACCTCTGAATCCCGGTGGTCCTATTTCTCCCGGGAGCCCCTTTAGCCCAGGCTGTCCTGGAAGTCCAGCATCTCCCCGGGGCCCAGGCTGGGCCCCAAGGACCTCTCCTGGAATCCCTCTGTCCCCAGGTGGTCCAGCTGGCCCTGGAAGTCCAATGGGGCCTGAGGGCCCCTCTGGGCCAGGGAGGCCTGGGGCACCTTTGGATCCTCGAGGTCCCATGAATCCTAAAACAAAACAAGGGTGGTACCCTTAGTCACAGTCTACATTATTATGTTCTGAGGTAGTGTTGACAGAGGTGAGAAAGAGCCAGGGTGTGGTGTGGCCACTAGGAGAGTGTCTCTGCAGCCCAAGAGCCTCTTACTGCTCTCTGAGTCTGGGCCTCTCACTGTCATTGATTCCCTTCACTGTCAGCTTTCAGACTCTTTGCTGTATCAAAGCATGGATGGAATGATGCAAATAGACCCCCAAACCTAGAGACAGTGGCCAATGGGAGTGAGGAGGGAAGCATGGACGGCTGTCACAGGGGTGTTCTGTGTGGCACTGATGTGTGACCATCGGAGCGTGCGTTTTGAGTCTCATCTGTAGCTCCAGCTAGCTTGACATGCTTTGTCGGCCAGGCAGGCCTGTATTCACGAAGATCCGCCTGCCTCTGCCTCCTGAGTGCTGGGATTAGAGGCGTGCACTGCCACACAGGCACTGTGCGCTCAGCCTTAACTATCTATCATAGTTAAGGTAATCCCAGAGGAACTGGAGAGATGGCTCAGTGGTTAGGACCACAGGCAGCTCTTGCAGAGGACCTAGGTTTGATTCCCAGCATCCACACAGTGGCTCATAAGTGTCCTTAACTCCAGTTCCAGGGGACCGGATGCCTTCTTCCAGTCTCTTCAGGTACCAGGCATGCACAAGGCATGCTCACCTATATTCAGACAAATACTCTTATACATTAAAAAATAAATCTTGGAGATTTAGTGAACACACTTTGGTATATCCTGAAACAATGAGGTCACCAGGGCACTGAACTAATTACTACGTTAATCTCTTTATGGGCTAATCACACAATGGCATTATTGGGAGGTGGTAAAGGCAGGATATGGGGCCTGGTTATGGAAGTAGGGATGTGCTCTTGGTGGCTATAATCTTTCCCTGGATCTATCTATCCTGCCCCTTTCTCTGCCTCCTGGCCACCTTGATGTGAGCAGCTCTGCTATGCTATGCTTACCCCACCGTGATGAATGGACGCCCATGGAACCATGAGCTGAGATAGCTCCTCCCCACTGTGGATTGTTTTCTCAGATGAGCAGCCATGCAAACCTAACTCCAGACTGGCAACCAGTGGTCACAGGGTTTTCTTTACATCCAGAGAACTCCCAGGAGAAGACAATGCTGGAATGTTCACTATGCACTGAGGGAAATCTGCCTGTCTCTTGTCTGTTTTTGTAAGATCTCTGCCACAATCTAGTACAACATCAATGATAAAAGTCAAGGATTTTTAACTTCCCGAGAGCACGGAAGACAGCTGTCATCAAGTGTGACTGGAATAGCTTTTAAGTCCTTTAAGATAATGGAGCTGGGGTGGACCTGACCACACACAGGAGCCATCTCCTGAGCATAAAAGGGCACACGCCACATTGACTCACCTGGGGGTCCTGGGAAGCCTTCACGACCTGGGTCTCCTGGAAAGCCCTTGAGCCCTTGTTCTCCAGAAGCTCCTGGGAAACCGATCATTCCTCTGATGCCTTTGACACCTAGACACCCAAGGAAACCACAGGCATATCAATATCAGATCCTCTGAGGACTGACCGGATGTGAGCCAGCTCTACTGTGAACCAATGAGGTCTACCATGGACCTTGGGAGTGATGCGGCTGGGGAGAAGCCAGCACATGCTGTATGTTCCCCAGGGTTTCTCTGTGCAGCGCTGGCTGTCAAGGAACTCAAGACCAGGCTGGTCTTAAATTCACGTAGATCACCTGTCTCTGCCTCCGAAGAGTGCTAAGACTAAGAGGGTGCACCGCCACGCCTAGCACTATGTACACTCTTCACAGAGTACATAAAAGCTGCTTCCCTGGGAAGTCACCACACTTGAGGCTGTTTTGGGATGGCAGAAGCCCACTGTGCCCAGAGGTGAGCAGGCATGCAGGGCCAGGGGAAGGAAAACCCAAGGTGTGAAGAGAAACTTCAGGCCATGATGTGAAGGCTGAATATTACCTGTGGGGCCTGGGGGGCCTGGCTGGCCGGGTGATCCTGTGGGACCTCCAACACAACCTAGAGACAGAGGAGAGGTGGGTAAGCTATGATGTCGGTGCTGAGGCGTACCGCCTGGGTACCATGCTGGTCAGAAGCAGCAGGCAGACTGGCTACCATTTAATGTCCACATTAACTTAATGACCTATTACTCCTGGGTCTGATGGAGATGAGAGTCATAAAGAAGTTAGAATAGTAACATGAAGCGCAAATGATGTCAGTCTAGTAAAAACTAGTACTGAGCTGGCAAATGCCATTTGCTCATGGGGGACAATAGCCCTGACCCAGCCAAATCACTGTGGTTCCCACAGGTCCAAGGGGACAGGTTTTTTCCTTTGGAAAACGTGTCAGCGGATGGACAGAGTTTGTGCTCTCCAAAGAATTTTTTTTGGTTTCTTTGTGAATTTGAATTGTTCAGAGTTAGCCACGGTGAATAGTTGCTTTGAGCAGGTACAAAGTTAAATCTGGTGCTATGGTTTGGATAGGAATGGCTCCATCGGCCCCTATAGGTCCTTATGCTGAAATACATAGTCATCAGGGAGTGGTGTTGCTTGAGAAGGACTGGGAGGTATGGCCTTGTTGGAGTGGGTGTGGCCTTGTTGGAGTAGGCATGGCCTAATTGGAGGAAGTGTGTCCTGAGAGGTGGGCTTTGGGGTTTAAAAAGCTCAAGCCAGGCCCAGTGTCTTTCTCTTCCTGCTGCCTGCAATTCTGAATTTAGAACTCTCAGCTATTTCTCCAGCACCAAGTCTGCTTATGTGCTGCCATGATGAAAATGGACTAAACCTCTGAAACTGTAAGCAATTCCCAATTAAATGCTTCCTTTTATAAAAGTTGCTGTGATCCTGGCGTCTCTTCATAGCGGCAGAGCAACGCCTAGGACGAAGCTGAAGGGCCTCCTGAGGCCTAGGACGATGGCGCTCAGCCGGCCTCTCTGCTGAGGGCACTTTACTAAAGAAGGGTGTCTTGCAAGCATGGCTGCACTCGGGGGTTTTCTTCCCCATCTGTGTGAGAACACAGGCCAGGCTCCCAGGGGGCACTTGCCATGGAGCCCCAAGTTCTAGAGTGGTAACACGGTCTAGAGCCACTTGCTCTCCCTCATCGTACCTGGCTGAACGACCACTTGCTGGCCTCCGATAGGCCTTTTCACACCTGGTTCACAATCTGGAGAGACAGTGGAAGAGGGAGGCAAGATTAGAACCAATGAAAGTCATTGACTTACACGTGGGTGTGCATATGTTTGAGTGTGCATTTGTGCATGTGGTGCTGTGCAGGCTGGGTGTGGGTGACCCTGTTTGCCCAAAGAAGCTCTACATTCCATCTGCCTAGCAGAGAGCTCAGCAGTCCCAGGAAACAGTCCCAGGAGCACATGTGTTCCGTGAACAGATGGCGTCTTGCCTGGTTGCCTGGGCACACATGCATGGGTCTAGAGGAGTAGGGGACACAGATATGACGCCTGCCCCAGGACTCAGGAGGACAAGGGCGGGACTCCTTCATACCTGTCTGTCCTGGGGTTCCTGGGGGACCCGGAGGACCAGGGAAGCCTGGAGGTCCTGGCAACCCAGCATCTCCAGGGAAACCACGCTCGCCCTTCGGGCCTGGTAAGCCCTGTCCTGGAGGACCCGCCTCTCCTGGAAAGCCCTTGATTCCAGGTACGCCAGGGGGACCCGCATCCCCTGGAGGGCCTTTGATGCCATCACCCTGCAAGAGAGCCCCAGTTGCCTTCAAATGCACACAGACATCAGAGGTAGCTGTGGCCTCTCAACCTCCCTTCCCCATTTCTCTGGAATTCGGTGCTGTAGGTCAAGAATGGGACAGTAGGGAGGAAAATGTCTATGCAAGCGACCAAGTCGAAGTCAGATTCATAGCACTGCCTGTCAGCATGGTGGAGGGTCGGCCTGGGAGACACACTTATATCAGGACCATGGGCACAGGAACTCCAACTGTTAGGATCAGCATGTGTCTGCTGTCCAAGAGGGACATCCCAGGGAAGGGGCCGAGTGATCTTGGAATAAGAGGTGTCTACAGGATCAGAACAAGGATGTGCTGGCCGGCGGCCTGCCCTGTGTTGATGATAGCAGCCGGGTGGGGACACCTGGGTGGGTAATGGAGGGACCACAGTAGGGCATGGTGAGCTCTGGGCAGTGGGAAGGGGCAGTGCTAAAATGCACTGGTAGAACCCAGCAGGCCCCAGTGTCAGCGCTGTGTAGCTAGTGAGGTGCTGTGTGTCCCAGCATGCCTGGGAGTCGTGGGTGAAGGGGGGACTTTGATGGCAGGTGGGCAGGAGCTGGTGAGAAGTCACCCTGTCCATGACATCACTTTTCTCCTTTGCATTCAGAGGTGAGAGAGTATTACGGGAAGGTCACCAGGCCGAGCTCTCTTTCTGCTTGTAGGGCCCTCAGAGCACGCGTGCATCCATATTTTAGCCTGTTTGGGGTGCGTGGGGCTAACACACTTCCCATTTACAGGGCCACCTGAGATCATAGAGCACACAGCCCAGACTTAGGTGGTAGACAGTGTGCGAGCAAGCCAGGGCGTTTTCGGGTAGATAGACATTTTGTTCTTAGCTTATGTTCTAGCTTGCTAGACCACTGAGGGAGACCACCTCTCCAAGACCTGCCTGGGGACAGGGGGAGAAGACTGTCTCCTGACAACCCGGGGGGCTTATCTCATAATAGACCATAATGGACATTTCTCCACTTTTTGAGGTGTTCACCCCAGGACTGCATTTCACTTGGCTCACTAGTCTCTAAAAAACATGGCGTCCTCTGACTTAAACAGAATGGACCTGTCCTGAGCTCTGGGTTGGGTGAGTGCCGAGGTCAAGGCCACAACCCCTCAAATGTTTAAACAACAGGAAGAATTGTTGAGTGGGCTGGGCTGGCTGCAGCACGGCAGCTGCTTACCGGAGGACCGGGAAGCCCGGGGAATCCATCAAGCCCATCACGTCCGGCGGCACCATCGTCACCTTTCATCCCGTGCACACCAGGGATGCCCGGCTGTCCCCGCTCACCTGGGGAAGACTGGCATGTAACTCTACTGGTACAGCAACTCACAGATTGTTACCTGAGCCAAAAAGTGTCAGTCACAGAGAACTAACCTTTGGTAGTGATTGTTCTAGAATCTCCCTTTATTCCCTTGGGTCCAGGAACTCCAGTGGGGCCCGGGGCTCCCTGTGGACAGAAACATGGATGTCTCTTCCTCGTTCAGACTGTTAAGGAGATCTTAAGTATCCAGTTTGTGGGCGATGGCCTGAAGGAACTGCCCACAATGCCAGAAGCACTGCACCTGGGCTTTGGGAAGGTGGTCACAGCAGTGCCCCTCCCAGTGGCTAGCCTGGCACCGTGGATAGCAGAACAGTTAGTAATTAAAATGTAACAAAAACAGCCCCAGGTGGTTAGAGAGTGAAGAACCAGGCTCTGTATATACAGGGAACAATGCGTGAACCAGCATCTTCGATGTGCATGGACGGGAGCTGGGACAGGTGGGTTTTCAGATTCTCAGGACAGCTGAACTGTGACCTGGAGCTGAAAAGGACCCAGGGCTTCTCAGACTCAGCACCAGCCTGGAGCACAAGGTGGCTTAACCTGTAACTGCGATCAGTAGAAGCCAAACAGGTAATGAGCCTCGAGGACAGAGGGCAGGAATGATCATTTATGGGCCTGGGGAGAGGGCTAAGCGACTTGGAGTTCTTGCTGAGGACTCAGTTCAGTTAACTGCCAGCACCCACAGGGTAGCTCGCAAACTACCATCTGTAACTACAGTTCCAGGGGGATCTGATGCCCTCTTCTGGCCTCTGTGGGCACTGCATGCATGTGGAGCAAGCCCTCTCTTTATCTCTCTCTCCCTCTCCCTCTTCTTCTCTCTCTCTCCTTCTCCCTTCCCCTCTTTCTGCACATGGACACAGGCAAAACGCCCAAAAACATGAAATAAAATTGAGTAAATCAGTGAAAGAAGACACAGCCACTTGCTATCTCAATGTGGCCAACTGAGAGCATCTTCTTTTGCAGAGCAAGGCTGACAAATAAAGGAAGGAAGAGCTGCCTCAGGGAGCAGCTCACTTCAGGGACCCTCAAACCATAGCTGTGAGAACACTGCAGCTCCAGGGGGCAGAACTGTCTGGGCCTGGACTTTTGTGTGTGAGGCATTGCTTGTGGTGTATCTTGGTTAACTATTTGCAAGAGTTTGAGACTCTTGAGTGTTGGTTTAGTCGAATGGAATGTTACATGTGCTTGTGGACCGCCTTGTGCTAGAATTCCAGGGGAACTTGATATATGGAGTTTGTTCTCTGCAGAGAAGGGAAACACTTCTGGTGTTCAGAACAGCTGCTCCCACATAGATGGCCGAGTTTGCTTCAAGCACTCTGCCAGGCTATTCAGCACAAATACTAAGAACTAACCAGCAAGCCAGCCTGCTAACCATCCATCCATCCATCCATCCATCCAACCATCCGTCCATCCATCCATCCATCCATCCATCCATCCATCCAACCATCCAACCATCCATCCGTCCGCTCACATACAACTAGCCAATCAGATAACCAGCCGTGGTCACAACAGCCTTCTAGGCATTCCTACAGTCATTTGATCAGTCAACAATCTGTCTGTATCTGTCTGTCCATCCAATTGGACACACACACAAACACACACATACACACACACACACCCTCCTAGGGGATCCTTTAACACAGGGTTGTTGTATGCCCAGACATATATTCAGGACATCAAACACAACCAGAGGCTGTTGGAGAAAAGGCCTCCGGTGGTGTGTACACGGGCGGGAAGAAGACATACTTGGGCTACTTGTAGATTGCAGAGGTACCAAATGGGATCCATTTTGGGAATGACTTAGCTGAACAGCCCTTCATTCTGCAGGACGGAGCATATGGCTTTCAGTTCATGATCTTTCCTGAACACGTTAATGGTGCTCAGACTTAGAGGGGCACTGTCTTTAAAACATTTTTTTTTCATTTAGGTGTGTGTGTGTGTGTGTGTGTGTGTGTGTGTGTATGTGTGTGGACAGGGTCTTGCTTATGTAGCCTCAGCTAGCCTCAAATGTGTGACGAGGCTGGCCCAGTCTTCTACACTACGATGAAACAGTCACTGTTCTTGTTTGGCTTAAGCTCTATGGAAGGGTTGGATTGTTGGAATGGTCTTTGGCCAGATGCCTCAGGAAGTTTTTTCTCTATTTTGGAAAAAACAGATAGGATGGTCAGCTGTGGTGGCACACACCTGTCATCCAGGATAAAGGAGGCTGACATGGCAGTACTGCCAGGGACTGAGGCCAGCCTGGGAGACATGGTGAGGCTACACATATGTGCATGCGTGTCTGTCTCCACACAGTCGTGTGGCCCACCCTGGCAGGATGGCATTCCTTAGGGTGGGCATGCAAATTTTCTCTCCTACCAATCAGACAGTGGATACTTGGGCTATTTCTACCAAAAAACAAACAAACAAACAAAAAAACTCTTCTGTATGGCATTCCACACACTGTGCACACACTTGAGAAGTCACAGGGCTTCAGTTCTTTTCTCCAGCCTGGACGTGGGGCCTCTGATCCTGGGTAACGTCACGTCTAACTTTGAGAATGAAGAACCGCCCTCCACGGCGGCCAGCACTACTTCAGTCCCACAGCTGGAAGTTTTAAGCAGCACGCGTCTCCACCGGACGCTGCCTGAATGGCTGGCCGGCCCCAGACCCCTGGCAGCTGCAAGGGGCCGCTGCCTTCTCACCTTGAATCCCGGGAACCCTGGGATACCATGCAGGCCTGGGTCTCCTGGTTCCCCTTTCTGTCCCTGGTCCCCACTGACACCAGGGAAACCCTTGGGTCCTGGCGGTCCCGGAAGGCCTGCGCCGGTCTGGCCGCACTGGCAGTCTCCAGCTTCACCTGTGGTGAGTGGGGGAGGGAGGCGTGTGTTAGCCTGGGTGTGGAGCAGCACAGGGGGAGGCTAGTGAGGGGGCTGGGGCAGAAGAGGGCTCAGGCCACACGCTGAGCCTGGACTAAAAGTGAGCACCCTCCCGCCTGCCTTCAGAAAGTCTTTTATTTTGAAGTGTCTGGTGATTGCCTTGGGCAGACTCTCATCCAGATGTGTGGTGTTTCACACAGCGCAAAGTTAACTTTCTCCGGGAGTTTTGGGGCAGCTGTTCTGACTGTGACCCAGCAAATGGTGCTTGCTGTGGATTCTCCCACCTGCTGTGTCACACTGGTTTTCAGAACGTTTCAAATTTTTGAGCATTTCAGATTTCAGATCAGAATGAAGGGTGGGGGGTGGGGCCGCCCTGGAAGGTCAGGCTAGTGGTTGTCATCCTGACCCTCCCATCCTGCCAGTCCTCACCTTTCCATCCTTTCTGTCCTCGAGTCCCTGGGAAACCAGAAGGCCCGGGGTAGCCCCCTCTTCCTTCTGATCCTTTCAGGCCAAACAGGAAGCCTAAGAAAAGATACGTGGGACAGAGACGTTTGTGAGAGATGGCGTCAGGTTCAGCCTGCCAGCCATGTCTAACCCAGCTCCTTGCAGCTCCACGCCCATCCCAGCACCTCCAAAGACAGATGCTTGGACAGCTACCCGGCCTCGGGGGCGAACAGAAGCCAGAGCCTGCAAATTTAGCTTTTCCCTCAGTGCATGGAGACCACTGTCTTTCCTCTGAGGAGGGCTCGGTCCAAATGAAGAATGTGGCTTTTCAGCCCTGTAGCTGGAATTTCAAGATGGCCACACATTCCTGTTTCCCTCAGAGAACACCCCTGGGCGGGGCAGGGGGTGAGGGAAGAGCAGAATTAGGATAAACTCAGTTCTCCACTCCATCCCCCTTTGGAGTAGATGCACACCTGTGAGTGGACGCACACCTGTGCTCAGACCTTCTCACGCCTCCTTTCACTTATCTCTGCCCACATGAACACACATGTAAACATGCAAACATGGGGGTCATGTTAAATAATGGGAATCCTCCTGACGAATTGGTACTAGGCAAGGCTGACTTCACTGGATGACCTTGACCCCACCCTTGCTCTTCTAGGCCCCTTTTCTCACCAAGGGTCAGAGTTATTAACCACTGCAGTGGCCCCAGTGTCACACATGGAGTCACACGCCACTAAGCCACACCGTTCAGAGAGGTTCGGGAAGACCGCCACCTGGTGGTGGACCTCAGGCTGCTCATCTAGGAGAGCACGGCCCAGAGAGGTAGCTGAGCACCTCTGGACTCTGAGCCTCACCGGCTTACTCTGTAGCCAAGGCTGACCCTCCTGTCTCAGCCTCCTAAGTGAGAGGATCACAGGTGTTAGCCACCAAGCCTTGTCCCTAAATCATTAAATCTGGTAGCGCTCACAGCGCCGGCAAAGGCCTCTGAACTAGCTGGATGCTTGCAGCTGCACAGGAAGTAGAAAGGACAAGGAAGCAGCAACTTCAAAGGCGTTTGCTCTTGGGAAAAGACAGCAGGTCATGTGAGAGCTCCTAGGGAAGCAGAGGTTTGTAGAAGAGGCCAGTGAGCATTGTTCAGTGTAATCCGATCCGGCTGTACAGCCGACACAGGCTCACTCATTCATTCATTCCTCCGTCCATTCATCCACCACGAGCTGGTGCCTGAGCTACGGCAGGCAGCAGGCCAGGAGCTGTGAAGGCACTGGCAAGCAAGCCTGCCTCCAGCTGACAGGTGAGGTGCAGGGACAAAGCCAACACGCTTAGCAAACAAACTTGAATTTTCAGATACAGGCCGCACCGTGAGCCGCACTGGGGAGTGGCTGGTTTTTGAAATGGTGGCGCCCAGAGGGCTTTCCGAGCAAATGATGTGAAGTGCGGCTCACAGCAGAAGCTCGCCAGGGAGGGAGCTGAGGGAGTATTCCCAACTGGGGCAGAGTGACCAAATGGCCCCTTAACAGTAGACAGCCTTGACCAGAGGCTGTATAAAGGGTACATGGAGGAGGGGAGGGGGCCATCTTGGGCTTTTATTCCAAAGGGCAAAGGGGGTCACCAAAGGGTTCAAAGAGGGAGGTGTTCCACACGCTGTGGGCCCCAGAGACTCCTGGGTCCTGGCTCAAGTTCAGAGGCTCAAGTACAGAGGAGCAAGGACAGCAGCGACTATGCCGGCCAGGGAGCAGGGAGAGCCGCAGCTCCACTCTGGGCATTCTGAGGTTAGGAATTCCTGAGATGCAGTGCTGGCCGTTTCCAGTGAGAGGCCTCATGTTTGTAGCTCAAGGCCCAGAGAGGAGGAATGTTTGCACGGGGCTGCGCTCCCATTGGAGGATTTATGCGGAGTTTACGTGGGCACACAGAGATAAAAGGGACCAGAGAGAATTTCAGGGGCTCCATTGGTTATGAGGGTGGAGGGCAATGAAGAGGCCACCAAGAAGGCCTACACCAGGTCCAGAGAGACAGGAACAGTGGAAAGGGAGCATGGAGGTGAGTGAGGGAAGCCTGTGTGAATACATAGAGGACTCACTGGACTTTTGGAACATTGTCATTAAAACTGGAGGCCTGTCACCAAGGATAACGAAGGAAGTCTTTCTTGGGAGATAGTAAGGCCTTTACTAAGGCCCAGTTAAGCCACATGGCTGAAACCTCTGTCTCGACTTTAGGTTGTTTTCCTCTTTTTAATTCAGTCCTAATTTTAAACAAGTTCTCTGGACTGTGGGAGATCTCAACATGACTTCCAGGAAGAAGCCAACAGCAGATTCAGTCAGCTGAATTAGAAATGGCACCAGCAGAGCCTTTCTCCTGGAAAGACAGCTGGCATCACGGTTTGCCCTTATTCTCCTGTGAATGACTAAGCATTCTGGCTTTCAGCAGCTGCATCAAATACAGTTCCTGAGAGAAAAGGCTCCAGAATTTTCAGTTCTCAGAAAGGCTGAGCTCTGCAGGACCTGTGGTTTCCAGTACTAAGTTACAGGGTAGATTACTAAATTGTGAGACAGGCATGCAAAGGTCAGTGGTTGGCTACTTTTCATGTAAGAGTTTGCTATGAAAGCAGATGATTTGGTAACAGTGTGTCTCACTGAGGAAACACCTCAAGCAGCGCTTAAGCTGGAGGCACTGAAAGTTTTAGTTGATAAACTTTCTCACACTAGCTCATCTTCAGTGTACATCCCCTTATCAGTTGCTACTCCACATCAGCACTGCCTAGATCTGTTTGCTTCTGTTTATGTTAGTGAGGCTGGAAGCCACTTAGAGAGCAAAATTGACCCCTGAAGAGAGCATATGCTCATGACAGGATGGAATGACAGAGACAATGTCCTCACTCATGGCATGCTTTTATGCTTTGACACATGTAAGGAAACTTCTACAAACGCCACACACACAAAAGAAATCATATGGCATAGATGTCATCAGAAAATATTTTCGTGTCAATATTAACAAATACAGCTCTTAACATAAATAATTAACATATACTACATTTAGCATAGTAGAAAATATTAAAGATAGCTTTGCCCAAATGCACCATCCAAGGAAATATCAACCCTTAAAACTTTTCAAACAAATGTGCTATCTTCCAGATGGTAGAAAACTGGGCAAGTATCCTCACATTAAGTTAAAATGTTACTGCAGAACCTTAATGTTAATACTGTAAAATATTAATGGGAGCAAAAGTGACTGGCTTTCTATGTCTCTATTTCATAGAAGTATCTCTTTAAAGGGAAGAAATACTGCCTACAATTTTACTTTTGGAGATGGTGAGGAGAAGGATTTTCCCAAAGCAATTAAAATGGCCTCTGAACTTGCAGTTTAACTAAAACCCAACACTGGATGACCTGAGGACAGATTGCTGGAGGTGATAGCAGGAAGTTGAAATCATTTTGGAAAGAAGTGCCTACATTTGGGTCAATGTCACCCAGAAAGAGAGAATGACCTCATATTTTCTTCCAGTGATTCATAAGCCAACCTGTCCAGGAGATGAAATGTTCCCACGAGGAACTCTTCAACATCTAAAGTGTAATGGAAAGCTACAGCTGACGAGAATGGCCTTTGTGGCTAGCTCAAAGCTACGGCACATGGACCACTCCTCAGTAGACAGAGTGTTCTTGACAGGACAGCATGGGCCGTCACAACCTGAAAATGCTGACTCAGGGACCGTCCCAGCTGCTACAGGGAGTCACCCCGGCTAGCTCTGGGACCAGCTCAGCTGCTGGGGGGCAGCACGATGGCCAGACCCTCCTCCTACTGCATGAACAGCTCCCCAGGACTCTCCTGGCTAGTGGCCACCGTTCCTTTTGCAGCTATCCTTTCTTATCATCAGTCATTGTCTCCTAGGACTTTGGCTTTGCAGTAACAGAGAAGCTCATTGCCACATCTCTGTACCAGACTGTTGAAGCAGAGGAGAGGAGCTGTGAGGGAAGAAGGAGAGCCTGCAGAGGCCTGGGCACAATGATTTCAGTTCACCACCCCTTCCAGACACAGCCCCGAGATGCCTGCCACAGCTCCCTGTGTAAGAGCTGTGGGTTGCTGCTTCTCCACGGCTGAGAGGCAACAGCTGTTGTCACGGTTCCCGTGTGGACCCAGATGCCCACCACACCCTCATTCACTGATGTACTGAGTCAACTCAGAACCACTTAAGAGAAAATCCTGGATGACAGCCAGCTTGACTAGGCTCTAGGTGAACACCAGCCACTTACCATCTGGTCCAGGGGGACCTGCAGGTCCAGGCAGTCCTTGGGGACCTGGTTTTCCATCAGCGCCTCGTGGGCCAGGATAGAGTGCAGGAAGGCCCGGCTCTCCTGAGAAGCCTTTGGGTCCCATCTCCCCTGGAAGGCCTCTCTTTGTATCTGAAACCCAATGAGCATTCACAGCAGGTGAGCGTTCTGATACTTAAAGGTTGTGTCAGCTTTCATGTCAGAGGAGACCACCATCAGGAAGCAGTGGCTAACAGAAGAAGGTGACATCCTTGCTATGTCTCATCACAGCTTCTCTACCTTTACAACTTCCACAGTGGCCTGGGGTTGTGACAGCATCCCCAGTTCCTCCATCCGGGAGCCAGATCCCACCAATCACCCATGAGTGTCACATTCCAACCTCACTGGTGGTCGCTGCTGCCTGTGCCCTTCACCTCAGCAGAGCTGAGACTACTCCACCACGACGGATGGAGCCACAGCAAAGCCACGTGGCCAGTAAAGCCCACTGCTCCATGTCTGCGCCTGACACCAGGGCCCTTCTGATGATATGAAACTTCATTACCTTCATCTCCGATGGACGAGCCTGGGGGCCCCATGGGTCCAGGGTCTCCTGGCTCACCCCGGCTTCCTGGCTCTCCCGGAGCACCTGGGAATCCTGGGTCACCTCTGGCACCTGCAACCAGAACAGGTCCCTGTAGTTACAATTAGATCATTGCCTAGGAATAAGCCTCCAGTACAGGGATGAGGCTGCTTACAGGCCCCTGCAGGCATCCAACTTCCCCAAAGTGGACGGTACACAGAGAGGGAGTGTCCAAATGCTGAAAATACAGGGGGCCCTAATTCACAGCCGAGCAGCACCAGATAAATACGTGATAAATAGAAGACACTCTGGAGGCAGGGAGGATGCCAAGAAGACACAGAGGTTTCAGTGGAGAGCAAAGTGACTTGAGAGGGCTCAGTGGCATTCTGGGTGTTAAAAACTAGAACCTGGGGCTGGAGAGACGGCTCAGAGGTTTAGAGCACTGGCGGCTCTTCCAGAGGTCCTGAGTTCAATTCCCAGCAACCACATGGTGGCTCACAACCATCTATAAGGAAATCTGGTGCCCTCTTCTGGCCTGCAGGTGTACATGCAGTCAAAACACTGTATGTATACAACATTGTATAACAAATAAATAAACATAATAGATAAATAAATCTTAAAAAAAAAACCCCAGAACCTGTGTATCCCCTAGAAATGAAGACACCCCTCTCCTTCATAGGTAAGGTCACACCTGGATGGTAGCAAGTGCTATCAGCCAGAACCAAAGTGACTGTTTCTAGTGACGCCTTTGGAAGCACCAGGGAAGTGGCTGTCTCTGACCTTTGTGCTGTGTCACTTGGAAAATCTGTCTGGGAAGTGTGTGACCTTGTTCCCAACAGAAGAGGGTCATGGGAGGCCACACTGTACACTGAAGCTTTTTACCAACCTTTTGCCAGGGACGGATGGGGCGAGTAGGCAGGAGGCCCTGGGGGACCTTGCTCCCCACGTTCTCCCTGGGGAAAAGAAACCATGGTGAGCCCATCCTTCCTGAGTCCTTGTAATCGTCATATTGCCCAGGAGTGGGCAGAATGTGGAGCTGGTTTAACAGGGCGGGTTTTCTCAATATCCAACCTGGGCTGTGCCCATGGCAACATCTCTACCATGTGGCAGTGGGGAGTCCCTGCCTCCCAGCCACGGGACAGACGTAAAGGGGACACCCAGCGTGTGAGGAGTGCCTTGTGAAGCTTTTGCCAGGGGTAGGAAGGCCGGAGGTGGCTGGGGGCTGCAATGATTCTGAGTCTCAGACCTTCACAGTGTTGACATCTGAGCCATCCGATGGGGGGGCAGCATGGCGCTGCAGGGGCCCCCAGTACCATCTGCTCTGTGGACTCCAGATACACCCACACATCTCCCCGCTGTCCCCAGACACGTCCTCCACAGGAGGGCCGTCCACAGGGATAGCCCCCTCACAGCTTCCCTGGATCACCTCAGCTGGTCTTCCCTCCCAGTCCTGAGGGGCAACCACACACGCTCCATTCTCCATCAGGAACTGGAGGAACCTCCCCACCTTGTTGCTACAAAGCCAGCCTCCTGCTGCCCTCCGGATGCCGAGCAGCACACAACATCTCTACTCTAGGGGCGCCCATTAATAAGCCACTGCCATCTCCTCTGCCCACGCTGTTTAGGCGAGGAACAGGACAGCAGCAGAAAGACAGGAGTCACCTTGGGTCCTCGGGGTCCACTGGGGCCTTGGAAACCGTCTAGGCCTCTGCTTCCCTGAAAGAGAGATAGGAGCGTGTAATCTTCAGCTCCAGGGGCAAACTCCAGAAACCAACCCCACACCACCTCCACCAGCACAGCCAGTGCAGCCACCAAGAATCCCTTGACCAGCCCTTCCACTCAGGGGGCGTCCAACTCCCTCACTTTGGATGCACAGATATCTGTAAAGACACTTTGCTTGAAGCAGGAGCCAGAGTCTGAAAGTGGCATTTGCCTGCAGTGTCTGTCAAGTCTCTTAGTTTTGAACAGCTTTTCCTTCCTTTGGGCTTTACTTTTTCTTTCAGATTTACTTTATTTATTTATTTATTTATTTATTTATTTATTTATTTATTTATTT